AGGCTTTGCAAGCAGCTCCAGTGTGTCATCATCCTTATTCCATACATGTCCAAGGATCTTGCTTGGATTTGGCATGCCTTCACTTTCAAGAACCTTCACATTGGATTCCCACTTGTGCACCGGAAACCTGGCAGACTCAAGTATGGCAGTACTCTCTTCTTTGAACCGCACGAGTTTCTCTACATTTCCTCCCGTTTGCATGAGATTGTCAACATATGTGTTCTCCTTAAGTGCCCTTACTGTCTCTTCAAATTCTGACCCTTCTTGTTCAAAGTGATGTTGCAGAGTTGCTCCTAGTAGGAAAGGGCTTGCTTCAACCCCGAAAGGTACACGTGTAAACCTTAAATGTTTCTCTATTCCTTTAATGTTGAACAAGAATCTGACTGCATCTCTATCCTCCTCCTTCACACCAATCTGAAGAAATGCCTTTTCTATGTCTCTAAGGAGCAGACTTGCGGACATTCGCACTCTAACCATTATGTCCCAAAGAAGCGGCTGCAACGGAGGACCAGTGAACATGCAATCAATGATGCTGTAAGTCAAAGGCTGTGGCTTAGCACTTGCGTTAAACACCATGCGAACCTTAGTTGTAACTGCACTCCGCTTTACAATTGGCTTGTGAGGCATGTAGAATACACGATTTCCAGACGGAATCTTAGGTGCTTCCTCGATTACCCCAGCTCTGAGTTGCTCTTCAATAATGCCGCCATACTCTCCTTTCAGTTTCTTATCTCTTGACAGCTTTCTCTCCACGTTTTCGAGCCGCTTTCTGCTAAGTGCTTCATTTGTGTTCGTTAATGTAACTCCCGGTATCCAAGGAAAACCAACCTCATACCTTCCATCATGCCTTCTAACAACACCCTCTTTAAAGTCACGCAGAACATCCAGCTGATCGTTCTCTCCCCGGTCCTCGACTCCCAGTACATCCAAACTGTACAGTTTCTCATAGTCATTAACCTCTCTCATGTACATGCAGCTGCTTCCACTCTCATATTCGTCTCCCCCATGGACCACCCAACCGAAGGTTGTCTCCTCTGCCAGCGGCTCTCCCGGGTGTCCTTTGAATACCCTCTCTGTCCTTATTCTGCTATAAACACCGTCTCCGAGAAAGAGGTGTATCTAATGTTCTCCTGTGGACGTCATGTAGAACCGCTTGTCTTGTGTATGTGAGTACTTCAACTTCAGCTAATTCATGTCTGGCCTTCTCACTGTGGTAAAAACAGCTAACTTCGAACCAGTGAATTCCACATTTTCGCAGGATTTTCCGACCAGGGACGTAATATGGGTGTCAAAGACTGGCATTGTCTGGACTTTGGTTCCATTGACTGTCAAGATTTCGCGAGTCTCGTGACGTGTCGGTTTCAACTTCACTAACTTGACTGCTTCACGTGAAATGAAATTGCGTCCGGATCCTGTATCTAGGTAGGCCCAAAGCACTTGTCCCCAATACTGACGGGAATAATCGCAGGTAGCACTTTCTCCTCTGCATAATTGGAGTAGACTGTCAATGACACTCCATCTGGATTACTGCTTTCCCTATCCGGTCTATCACATATGCTTCTGTGGTGTTTGTGTTTACACTTGGCGCAGCCACGCCTACGGCACTGGTCTGCTCTGTGGTTTTGCCTTCCACAATTAAAGCATAGATTGTGATCTACGAAGAACTTCTTCCTGTCCGCTAATGCTGTTACTAGGGTACAGTCCTCACTCCAGTGTTCTTGTTTTCGGCAGAAGAGGCAATAGGGTTTCGGCTTATCTCCTTGCTTCTGTGAGAACAGATGTTTTTCGTATTTGCTGCCTTCGACGTGATTCCTCCTAAGCCACTTCTGTAGAGCATCAATCAGGTCTTCCATGGACCATTCCTCCCACTTTTCATCCCCTCTCACTAGATCTGGCTTTACCTGAGGTAACTTGTTGAGCGTGGTCATAACAAACCCTTGTAACTGTTGGCCTTCTTCGAGGGTTTGAAGCGCGTCATAATTCCTACTCAGTTTCTCGTAGAATTCTTGCACCTTGAAATAATTAGACCCCTTGACTGGAAGTAAATTAATGATTTCCTCCATATGCGCATGCGTAACAAGCTTTGTTTGCCCATATTCTTTCTTTAGTCGATCCCACGCTGTCTTGTAACCAATAGTTCCAGGTTTTAAATTTGCAATTCTGTCTGTTACCTTCGGGCTAACGGATTCTAGAAGATACTTGAATTTCTCCTCGTCGGAAATTGATTTCGCATCAACTTGCGTCAGGAACATGTTTTCAAATCTTATCCAATCGCCGGCAGTACCCTTAAAATGTGTTATCTTTAATTTCGGTAACTTTGTGGTGCTGGAAACGGCTGTTTTCTCCATTTCCAGTTTCTTTTCTGCCACAAGTAATTCAGCTTCAAGCTTTTCCTTCCACAATTTACGCTCATGCTCTTGTTGTTTTTCACGTAACACGTACAATCGCCGCTCATCTTCCAACCGTTGCTCCTGCTTCAATTCTTCTTTTTGTCGCGTAATTTCTTAATCTCTATCATCCAAACACTCTCTAAGCCTCTCGTTTTCGCTGACAGATGCTGCATACTTTGATTTAATGTCTTTTCTCCACTGCCTCACAGTTCGTGGCGACATTCCTTGCTCAATTTTTAATTCTTCTGTCTGTGAAATAAGATCCGACAACTTTGCAATGATTTTCACAGCTCGTTTGTTGACTATTTCCATCTCCGAATAATCCTGAATTTCGATCAGTTCCTCTATCTCCTCCATGAAGTACTTGACTTTATCAATTTCTTTGTCGATCTCTTTCATAAGACGTTGTTCTTCGTCGCTCGGTTCTTCGCTGTCACTCATGTTTTTTTTGACTCTGAGAAGGGTTACTTTCGCTTCTCAAACTGTCTCGTTCGCGTTGTGTATTCCCTCAGCGTATCCTGGTCACAGTACCAAAAATGAGCCGAACAATAAAACAGCCCATAGAAAAACTCTCCCTCCACAACCTTCTTGTCCTTTTTTCTTTTTACACGCACGTGCTTACCACCTTATTACCTTATTTGGTAGTACTGCTGAACTTCACTAAACTGTGAGGGGTGGGCTTAGTAAAACTCTCGTACATCTGTTCATAAAACTGTCAATGTTTACAATCCTGGATCCAACAATGATTTCATTTTCCTTTTCATCTTCCAGTGAGATGTTTAGGAAAGTTCTCGGTCATTTCATTTTATTAGGAGTCAAATACAATGCGAAACAAATCGTAGCACTCAGAGGTATCCACTTAAATTTCTCGCGGAACAAAGTAAGACCTACCAAATGCACTCGACACGACTTTATTGATGGGGTGTCGACTTCACCATCCTCCTTTAGCTTGTTAAATAAAATTTTTTTGACCACTTTCGGCAAGAACCCTGCCATCCGAACATTTTCCTACCTGCTTTCAAGAAGTAAACTTTCCATTTTTGTTTCTCAAATAACCACTTCCGCTGGAAACAATAGAGCTAGAGGTACCCGGCAATTTTGAAACGCTCATGGCGGCCATGTTTGTTTACAACTCGCCCGCGGATCTGATCGCGCGCGCCATCGCTTATTTCTCTCGCGAGTAATAAGCTTGCGTGTATCTTGGAATCCATTCTCCCCGCGGTCAAAAAAACCCTTTCGAGCCTCCTTAAGTATGCAAATA